TTTCTTAATTACTGTTGTTGTTATCATTATTATTGTTATTACTATTGTCCAGCTTCGTCCAAGTGAACCACCATGGTGTTGGAAGTCCTGCGATGACGGCCAATGATCCTGATGTCGAAAACAAGTCCCGTTTCACCAAATTATGCCTTATCGCATTTGCTACAAAGTATGCGATATACAGCACTGTTGGGGTTGCTTTTAGCCTTTATTTTTTTTTTTTTTTTTTTTTTTTGGCTCGCATCATGTCATATATCTTTTCACTGGATGTGCTGGCGATTTTCACTGTACTACCAACCTATCTGCTGATCGCCTGGGAAATATTACATGACGATGATATGAGAAAATTAGAAGAGTGTGCAAGGATCTGATCTTATTTGGTCTCCGCGTTCTTTCAGAGGTTTAGCAGGAAGCCTTTGGGATATTAATCTCTGATGAAAGAATGATGATATAGTCAACATCAGTCTCAAGAAACTCAAAGTTGCAGGTCCTCAGTACTCTGGGACAAAAGCCAATTACAACTTTAGTTTGTGTTTATCATTATGGGCGGAGTTGTAGTGAAAATGATCTTCTCTAGTAGAAGGCTTTTTGTGCACAGGGATGCGATAAGGCTGGAGAATTACCGAACGGGAAGGAAGCAGAAATAATCCATGGAGGATTGAATAAACGGGAAAGAAAAATTATGGAAACTATACATCGCGACGGAGAAGAAGAATCACTGCGTCGGGCAGCTTCATTTTCATTATCATTATTATTATCATTATTATCATCATTATCGCTTTGATTATTGTTATTATTAATATTATCATCATCATTATCATTATTATCATTGTATTACCATTGCAATTACTATCAGTATTTCTGTTAATAATACTATTATCATTAGTCATTGTTATCATTGTTATTATTATCATTATATCATTATTGTCATCATCATTATTATTGTTATTATTATCACCATTAATAATATCAATATTATTATCATTATCATCACCGCCATTATTAATATCGTTAGCTTTACCATTATTATTATTGTTACTATTATTGTTGTCAGTATTACTATCATTAATATTATCATTATCATTTTTTATCTTTTTTGTTATTATTGCGATGTTATTATTTTATTACTAATGTTGTTTTTTGGTATTATCATTATCATTATTATTATGATTATGATTATCACTATCATTATTATTGTCATTATCATTATCATTATTATCATTATTATTAATATTATTATTATCTATTATCATCATTATCATTATATTATATATATATATATATATATATATATATATATATAACTATCTATTATCGTCATTATCATTATCATTATTATTATCATTATCATAGCTGCTGTTATAATGATGATTACTAGTGTTCATGTTTGCATTACCATATTTACGTTCATGGGCACAGATGATGATTTATAGATATGGTTTAACCCAGTGCGTGAAATGTGTATTAATTTATTGTATAACTTTTAGTTTATGACGTTATGACCAGCATGATGTATTGATGTAATCTATTTTTTTTTTCATCTGTTTGTTGTTGTTTTTTTATTGGAACCAAAATCGTATTGGGAATAAGATTTTTTTTGTCCATATTGTCACTGAGATATTTGCAATATTATCAACATTATCTGGTTTTGCTTTTTTGTTTTTCTTTTTTTTAATTGGTATTGCAATGCATTCGGAATTAAAAGTCTTTGGTGATATTTGATCGGATAACCATTGTACAAGTGTCGTGATTTTATGAGCAAGAGCGATCGTTGCAATATTTGTAAATCACTGCTCGTTAGTGTTATGTGATCTGCATAGGGGGCGTCGGAATCGTAAACATATATGTATATATATATATATATATATATATATATATATATATATATATATATATATTATATATATATACATATATATATATATAATATTATATATATATATAATATATACATACACGCGCGCGGCACACACACGCACACACACACACACACACACACACACACACACACACACACACACACACACACACACATATATATAATATATATTATATATATATATATATATATATAATATATATTATATGTACACACATACACACACACACAGAGGGAGAGAGAGAGAGTCTGTGAGTAACAGAGGGAGAGAGAGAAAAAGAGAGAGGGTAAGTAACTGATTGAGATAAATGGATAGATGGAGAGAGAGAAAGAAATGAAGGGAGGGAAAGAGAGGAAATTAAGTGAGAAAGAGAGAGAGAGAGAGAGAGAGAGTCAGGGAGAGTGAGTGAAAGTCAGAGAGTGAGTTAGGGAGAGAGAATTAAGTGAGACACAGAGACAGAGAGAGTATATATGCGCGGGCGTGTGTGTGTGTGACAAGTAGACAGACATACTGTTTAACAAAATAGAGTAAGGTGGAGTATGAGACAGAAAAAATTGATAGACGTTTATATGTGCGCATCTGTGAATGCTTCTGTTCGTGTAGTATACGTATAGTATATGTAGCTTTTGGTCTTGAAAGATATATTTGTGTTAATGTGTTGTGAATGGGAACGGGTGTGTATGTAGATTGCACATACACAAATAGTGTAGGTATATTTATATAAACAATGTCAGAACGTTAAACCATGAAAAGGGAAGGTTAAAAAAATACATTTGAACATGTATCCTTTACTGATAAACGGCTACACGTCACAGAGATTTTTTTAAATTCTTCATCACAGCAAATACAACACTTATGCAGTCAACTCCCGCCTGGAGCCTGTCAAGTTGTTGTTTTTTTAATCTATATGTTTTCACGGTCTGGCTAATTTCCTTTGTATCGTCAGCTTGACGTCATGTGCGCCAAGGTGTGGATGGGAGACGAGTCGCAAACAAGACGCAATGTTCAGGAGAAAAGTTGTCGCAATCGGGTTGAAGAGTTAAAAAAAAATAAGTTCGTATCCCCCTCCGCCCGCCAAAAGTGGGGGGAGGGGGAGGCAGAAGTCCGTCGTTTTCTTCGTGTATTTGAGACTTTTTTCCATTTCTTTCTTTTTCTCATTCAGTCTCTTTTTTCTATTAATGTTATCTTCATCCTTCGTGCATTTCTTCTGTCGTCAGCTCTCCAAGGATCCAAAGCAGATTTTCTATCCAGAAATTTTGAGGAAATTGGACGAAATCACTTCTCATGAGTTCCATTCCCGTTTTCTTCTTCTTTTCTGTAACTGGCACTCGGTCTTTATTTCCTCTCTCTCCTATAAATGCTGGCCTTGAATCCGGTCATATATCATTATATCTAACCATTACTGTACTTCCAATATGTAAAAATGAAAATTGCAAAGGTAATACGTCAAATTAGTGTATCATCATCAAAATCATACCACAATCACTATCATCACATTCCTTATTGTCAATTTTTGGTTAACATTCACTGTCCTAATGTACAATTTCGGTTATTCAAGTTTCCTGTTGACACATTTCTGACAATAACCTACGATAGTTTACTTTCTTAAAAATACTAACATATTATATTTAGACCAGCAATCGCCAGACGACGGTAGACATCGAAACATCTACAGAAACCGTGGAGAGGGCGCTGGGTTATTCGTTACTCTACAATCCACCTCTGATCTCGTCTGGTTTCTTCCTGAGGATGCTTCAGGCTCTAGGTTTTCCTCTCGGCGGGAGCGTGACAGAGATCAGACTCACTGTGGGATTATTTCTAAGTCGCCCACATCTTCCTCCATAAGCTTGTACGAAACGGCGCCGTTCCTCCGGCCTGGGTGTGCACATCCGGTTGCCTGAGACCACGTGCGAATCGCATTTTTTTCTCGCAGTGAATGTTCTGTTTTTTAAAAATCTAATCAAAGTCGAAAGACACGTATGTCAGCCTATATACAGTGTGCAGCCATTCACACTGGACAGAAAGGCCATGAAGTGGTACATGTTGAATATATGTACAGTTTAGAAGAAGCTTTTTGAAACGCCTAGAAAAAAAACTTTTAAAAGAGATTCCTAATCGTGGGTCTAACAGGCCAACCGGCGCGGCACTTCTCAATCTGCACGGCGCCCTGAATCCTTATCTCCTAACGGTGCCATCTCACTCGTTATCTCTTCCTTCTCTGATCGCCGCCGCTTGCAGGGATTCCTATCGTGCCGGAAAAGCATCCTCTGAGTGTTATCTTTTCCTCTCCCTTTCTCTCAAAACTGGAAATGTATCTTTTTTGCCCTCGATTATCTCAAGCCTTACAGGCTAAGGTCAAGGTACAAGCAAGGTCAGGGATATCAAGTTAATAATGCCTGGATATGCCGTGACTTGGTTTTCTTTATCTTTTTTATGTTTGTGCATTATATATATATATATATATATATATATATATATATATATATATATATATATATATATATATATATATTGTCCCATGATTATTTGCACCCTACACATGATATATTAATATGCTAAAAGTTGTTATATGTGCTTCCCTAATCCTGTTAGGTTTTTCACTATCATGTTGAGATGCTGTACTGTTCTCTACCATGATATGCTGATGTTATGCTTCCCTCTCGTCTATTTTCTACCCATCAATCTGAATTTGAATGTGCTTCCATATTAAGGAATGTCCCTTCATGTGGTTCCTTAGAATAATATGATGTTCATTGTGCTTCCCTTTCATAATGTTATTTCATGGTTTATGTTTTTTCTTGGCGTTCTCTTATCATTGCAAGGTACTACATGTAATTCCCTACCATGTAATGATGTTAAAAGTGCTTCCCGTTCATGGTATTAGGTTACATGTAATTCTCTGCCATAATAGCTACCATAGTGTTCTTGTCCCTACCATGAATAGATGTTAAGAGTGTGCTTCCCTAAAATACTGCGATGTTAAGCGTGCCTATTTTACATCATGGTGTTATGTAGGAATCAATATTCATGTTATGGTATGCACGTTTCAATCATGGTACATTGCACATTAATTTTTATTCAAGCTTGTACGATTTATTCCAGATATTAATGGTATTATTCATATTTTTTTGCCTGTTGTTATCCAGGTAGACTGATGTAGTTCCCTATTGCGAGACCAACATTTCCGCTATAGTATGATGACGAATGCCTAGGATTGTGCGTGTATATAATGGGCTTGTGGTCTTTCCTTTGCCAGAAACTCACCGATGATTTCCCGTATCTATGAGGCCTTGGATCTTTGTGCATAGTTTTAGTGCTATATGGTACTGATGTGGTGCATGTGTATTGGATTGTACCGTTGGTTTTGAATGTGCTTTTAGAAAGCGTTTAGCAGTGTCCTGAAGTGTTGTGTATGTATTTGTGTTCATATTTCTTTTGC